TGTGGTTAATTCATTGTTTCAGTTACTAGTCAATACTTAATTAAATAGATAAGAAAGTAGGTTGTAGCTATAAAACTGTCCATTTCGGTTTTGTTAACTTTATACTTTATACTTTGGAAACTGACCTTAAAGTTCAATTTGGGGTGTGGCTAGGTGTGGAGTGTGGCTAGGTGTGGGGTGTGGCTAAGTGCAGGGTGAGACTAGGTGTGGGGTGTGGCTAGGTGTGGGGTGTGGCTAGGTGTGGGGTGTGGCTAGGTGTGGGTGTGGGGTGTGGCTAGGTGTGGGGTGTGGCTAGGTGTGGGGTGTGGCTAGGTGTGGGGTGTGGCTAGGTGTGGGGTGTGGCTAGGTGTGGGGTGTGGCTAGGTGTGGGGTGTGGCTAGGTGTTGGGTGTGGCTAGGTGTGGGGTGTGGCTAGGTGTGGGGTGTCGCTAGGTGTGGGATGTGGCTAGGTGTGGGGTGTGGCTAGGTGTGGGGTGTGGCTAGGTGTGGGGTGTGGCTAGGTGTGGGGTGTGGCTAGGTGTGGGTGTGGGGTGTGGCTAGGTGTGGGGTGTGGCTAGGTGTGGGGTGTGGCTAGGTGTGGGGTGTGGCTAGGTGTGGGGTGTGGCTAGGTGTGGGGTGTGGCTAGGTGTGGGGTGTGGCTAGGTGTTGGGTGTGGCTAGGTGTGGGGTGTGGCTAGGTGTGGGGTGTCGCTAGGTGTGGGATGTGGCTAGGTGTGGGGTGTGGCTAGGTGTGGGGTGTGGCTAGGTGTGGGGTGTGGCTAGGTGTGGGGTGTGGCTAGGTGTGGGGTGTGGCTAGGTGTTGGGTGTGGCTAGGTGTGGGGTGTGGCTAGGTGTGGGGTGTCGCTAGGTGTGGGATGTGGCTAGGTGTGGGGTGTGGCTAGGTGTGGGGTGTGGCTAGGTGTGGGGTGTGGCTAGGTGTGGGGTGTGGCTAGGTGTGGGGTCTAATCGCTTACCTTACCGTCACCCTGTCTGCTCACGTCATCGACTCTTCACGCCTCATTGGTTTCTGCTGTTACAGCACTTGATCCTGCCCACGGAGGACGGTGACAGTGACGTATGGTGACGTATGGCCAGATGTCTGGCTGATTACATCCCCAATCGTCGGGTTGGTGCAGGGGAGATGGGTGGTAAACATAGTTCAACGGATATGGTATGGGATAACTATGGGATAGGGAAAAGTACTAGATAGTGATGACTACGGGATAGGGATAACTACGAGATTTGGGGCACTACGACGGGATATGGATAACAACGGGATATAGGATAGGGATCACTAAGGGATAGGTGTCACTACGGGATAGGGGATAGGGATAACCAGGATAGGTATTGTCACAGGATACCAAAAAAAGCTGTTTGGCTAGAATAAGAAAAAAATATTATTTCTCGTTTTACTAAAAAAAAGAAAATCACCAGCACCAACAAAACAATAAGACAAAACGACTGCAATAATAAAACAATAAGACAAGACGACTGCAATAATAAAACATTTTCTTGAAAAGACAAAACTGTGTTCGATGGCTCACACTATGTAATCGTTATATGTCGAGGAATACCTTAGGTCGAAACACTATTCCTCGTAGTATACTATGATTGTACAGTCCTTATCTCTTCTTAACGTTAAACGTATATTATCCATCACTGCGTCCTAATTAGGGGACAGTGGGCTGATTCATATTTTCTGATTTAGGACATGGGATACTTATCGTTCAGATTATCTCTTCCCCCCCCCCTACCCCCACCCCCAAAAAAAAGTTTCGCGTAAAAACTTTTTAATTGTGTCCCCGCGGACCCACTCACTGGAAGCCGGCACAGATGCGAGCCGGCTGCCGGCTGCCGGCCTTGTGTGGACAGGCCTTGATGAGCTGTGTGATGGATAGATGTGTGGCCCAGCCCCAGAGAAGCGTCGCTCCCCGCCCGCTACAGGATCTATCCATCTCCCCCACCCCAGCAAAACCTATCCATCTCCAAATGCAGGACAATACATATATTTCATATAGAAAATGACAGAATCAATCACATTGTGACAAAAGCTATGAGAGCCCTGACTAAATGTTTACAAAAATGTGACACATTACGTCATTATTAACGGCGCATTGGAATTGGTGCATGTGATCACGAGTTGGCGGTCACGTGACCAGCAGCGGATGTATATAGACAAGTTGCTTGGTGCCTTCTGGTTCTACACATCTAGCTCTTGTACCCTCTCGTTGTGTTTCGGGCATCTCTCCCGGGGGGGGGGGGGACGGGGGGGGGGGACACACGAAATTTCAAAATGATATAACTTGTATACAAGATATGTAAAGACAACTTGGTGGCTTGGAGGTTTGGTTTATTACATCCATTTATGTTCAATGTATGTATTGTATGTATATGTGTATAGCCTCCACGCATACACATACACACATTTAGTTGCCGACTCAAACCATTAGTGAGAAAAATCTTGTAATGACCTAACCAGATTGGCCATAAATTGCTCATATTTTCCCTTCTAACCCCTCGCATTTTTTGCGCTCTGCCGTTTCGCAAATAACGCACTTCTCCGTGCGCTAGATGGTCTTTTGATGGCAGGCCGCTCGGCTCTGGTGTTTAGCGATGCATTGAGCATACAGCGAGAAAGAATGTGACGTCAGACCCGGCTCTTCAAATCCTTGTCGGCATGAGCGACGATTATTAAATGGTTTGTCTACGTAGGTCGTGGAGCCAGTAATGAGGCGGACTAGAGAGTAGCTGCCCCGAGTGTTCGTCGGTTCTTGTCGTCGAGAAGTGTGATCGCTTTTCAATCTACAGCTTCTGAGAATTATACAACGGCAGACGACGATAAACTCATGAGGCAGACGACAGGCAGAAGAGCATGTTAAATAGGCGGGGTGTGTAACCGTTTGACATGCAAATGATGCGGTTGTCACGTGATTTCGCATGTAGATGATGCACTGCACGCGCTTAATGTTTTCTGGATAATTGTTAAAGTTAACTGCGCATGGAAATCACAGCATGGGTTTTTGATGAGTCGTACATCACGTGTTCAAATGGTGACGTGTGATCTCTGTCAATGTCCACAAATTAACGTGTGATCTCTGTCAATGTCCACAAATTAACGTGATCTCTGTCAATGTATACAAATTAACGTGTGATCTCTGTCAATGTATACAAATTAACGTGATCTCTGTCAATGTCCACAAATTAACGTGTGATCTCTGTCAATGTCCACAAATTAACGTGTGATCTCTGTCATCACAAGAAAACCTGCTTTGTTATCTCTGCGTGCCCCCTATTCTGTCTTGAATCAAACGCCGACTGTGGGATGTTATCGTAGATGAAGCAGAACGCCAGGACTGCTATCACCCCCACCCCACCCCCTACCCCCACCCCCATGTGCAACAGCTGTGACGACCCCAGGGTTCAGCACCGGCCATCAGCTGATGCCATTCATCACTTCCGGTCACCTACCCATAGTCACGTGGTGCTAATCACACCCACGGGAGGGTTGCTGTCTTTTGACGTTAGCTCTGTGTGTGTGGTGTCTATCAACTACCCACCACCATACATGGTGTTTGTATGTGGTGTCTATCAACCACCCACCACAATACATGGTGTTTATATGTGGTGTGATAACCTACTCCTTACAGTGTGTTTCTATATGAATTGCGTGTCATCATGTATGTACGGTGTTTGTATGTAGTGTCTCAACTATATGCATCAACTTATATGTACAGTAGCCTATGTATTATGAATTTTAACCAAATACTTTTCCCATTATTTAAATGTTGAATACAAAACAAGTACCATAACTATCTTTTTATTTTGTTCACAATTTCGCGTCCTTAAAATATTCATTAAGTACAAGAAACAATATCGAAAAATTTAGTCGAAATAGTCAGTTGAAAAGTGTCGATTGAGAAGTGTCAGTTTTTAAAAAAAGCTCGCTAACCCTTACGTTATAAGCAGAGAAGAAAAAGAAACAAATTATTGTGATGGAATGGAAGCAAGAAGTCAGCTAGTTGTTACGAAGTACCACCTATCGATGACGAAGTACCCAGCTATCGATGACGAAGCACCCAGCTATCGAAGACGAAGCACCCAGCTATCGATGACGAAGCACCCAGCTATCGATGACGAAGCACCCAGCTATCGATGACGAAGCACCCAACTATCGATGACGAATCACCCAGCTATCGATGACGAAGCACCCAGCTATCGGTGAAGAAGCCCACATCTAACAATGACGCAGGGCGACCTAACCGCAGGCAGTGTCTCCGCTAGGCTACAAATCGCCATTAAAACCTATCAAGCAATTAAACAAAGCCCATTAGTGTCGACAGTTAAACGTCCTCGTTTAGTTTTATTCCACCAGAGCACGACCTGGATGAGATAATGGGACATCAGTTTGGGGGAGCCCCTGACAGATCCCATGGCTAGCCTAGCCTAAGTGACACTTGTAACCGTTTAATGAAGAACTATTTCCGCAATTGTACGATCGTTTGAAGTTTGAGCTAATTACATCGCAGCTGGTAAACTATGGTTTAAGTCTCGGGTCATCTTTAAAAAATTAAATATGTGAAAACAATATTTGATACTCAGATATATATTATTTACACACATATCGACAAGATACAGATCATCTAGATACAGATCATCTAGATATAGATTATCTAGATATAGATTATCTAGGTATAGATAATCTGCATTTAGATCCTCTGGATATTGACCATCTGGATATAAATCATGCGCATATAGATCATGTAAATGTTATCCAAACAGTTACAACTTATCTGATTTGGATTATCCTACCAGGGAAAAATCAACTACTTTGGTTTATTGGGTTTTTTTTTATTCAGGTTTATATTCGTGCTAATATTTTTTTAACTTGAGACAATCTCTTCAACCAACAGTTGACTGTAGGCACAGCGTATTTTTATTTAGCATTTGTAATACTGGGAAAAAAATTGTCAAGGGCGCAATGACCAAACAAAGCTCACAAGAGCTGACTCAACAATTAAACAAACTAAAAGCAAATTTGACAATGGATGGCAATGTCCCACCACCCAAATAAAGTTTCTGCCCTGGGTGGCAACGTTCCCCCAAGTGGTGGGTACCAATGCTGCTCATGGGCTGGGTACCAATGTTCCCCCATGGGCTGAGTGCCAATGTTCCCCCACCTCCATGGGCTGGGTGCCAATGTTCCCCATGTGCTGGGTGCCAATGTCAATGTTCCCCCACCCCCACGGACAGGGTGCCAATGTTCCCCCACCCCCATGTGCTGGGTGCCAATGTTCCCCATGTGCTGGGTGCCAATGTTCCCCCATGGGCTGGGTGCCAATGTTCCCCCATGGGCTGGGTGCCAATGTTCCCCCATGGGCTGGGTGCCAATGTTCTCCCATCCCCATGGGCTGGGTGCCAATGTTCCCCCATGGGTTGGGTGCCAATGTTCACCCATGGGTTGGGTGCCAATGTTCCCCCACCCCCATGTGCTGGGTGCCAATGTTCCCCCATGGGCTGGGTGCCAATGTTCCCCCACCCCCATGTGCTGGGTGCCAATGTTCCCCATGTGCTGGGTGCCAATGTTCCCCATGTGCTGGGTGCCAATGTTCCCCCATGGGCTGGGTGCTAATGTTCCCCCATGGGCTGGGTGCCAATGTTCCCCCATGGGCTGGGTGCCAATGTTCTCCCACCCCCATGGGCTGGGTGCCATTGTTCCCCCATGGGTTGGGTGCCAATGTTCCCCCACCCCCATGTGCTGGGTGCCAATGTTCCCCCATGGGTTGGGTGCCAATGTTCCCCCACCCCCATGTACTGGGTGCCAATGTTCCCCCACCCCCATGGGCTGGGTGCCATTGTTCCCCACCCCCATTTTCTGGGTGCCAATGTTCCCCATGTACTGGGTGCCAATGTTCCCCTACCCCCACGGACAGGGTGCCGGCGTGTCAGCTGGTGGACAAGAACTCCATCTGTTGGCGAGACCTTGATGGCTCGCATGATATCGTCTGCAGGTTGACAAGCCGTCTGCTGAGGGATTCAATGTACCGAGACGAGGATATCACACCCTGCTCAAAAACTGCCGCCATTGGCTTTCATTTATTTTATCCTCGATTTTTTTTTCTTCTATTTTTTTTTTATCTTTTTTTTTAATTTTTAATATATTTTTTTATTTCAAATTTTTATAACATTATGTTTTATTTTGATTTATTGACTGGCTGCTATTTATTTATTTCTGTTTTTATAACTTTATTAAAAAATCTCAAGATTTAACAGATTGCTGACCGTTGTTGTCCTGGCCCAGTGTGGTCGCTGGGCAGGTGATGCAAATAATAAACTAGCCGGAAGATCAAACGACTGGAAGTCTTGTGATTCTAAACACATTTCTGTGAGAGGAAAATCTTAGGGCGCCTCGGGGCGTGCAGGCTCCAAGTTCACACCCCGCACACTGGCGGAAGCGATGGTCTCCCATCAGAGGGCGACAAAGCCTTGATTACATCTAGAGTAGCGGCCCCTGAACTCAGAGATACGTCACAGATAAGACACTAACCATGACAGCCCGGTACGACTCGTCAATGGTCGTCGTCAGCAGCCCGTCGCCTGGAGGTGTCATTACCCCCCTACCCCCGGGGGTGTCATTACCCCCCTGCCCCACCCCCGAGGTGTCATTACCCCCAGATGCAGCAGCGTGTCCGGCGTGGGGCGGTTATCTTGTCAACTGTCAATGCGCGGGGTGTTTAACACGACAGGCCGACCAACACGACACAAAAACTGGGGGCTTACACGGGGGTGGGCCCGTGAAGAAATGGGCAACAAACTTGACAAAAGTAGGACTGACAAGTTGAACCCTGTGGGTAGGACGCGTACATTGACGTCCACGGGGAGCCAGGTTTGTTAGGGCGCCTGGGTCCCATCATTACAACCTGGGCGTCAGGGCGCCACCTGCCCGTGGGGAGGGACGACAAACTTCCAGACATGCTAAGACTGGCTGAAAGAAACACTTTCATTTGGGTCGTTTTTTAGATTGTATGGGGGTGGGTGGGGGAGGGTGCTCACGCTTTATTCAGGATCGAAATAGAATTAGCTCTAAGTAAACAATGAATAGAATAGGTTAGAACTGTAGAACACGCGAGGGTGAAGGTCAGTAGAGACACACGGGATTGAAGGTCAGTAGAGACACAGGAGGGTGAAGGTCAGTAGAGACACAGGAGGGTGAAGGTCAGTAGAGACACAGGAGGGTGAAGGTCAGTAGAGACACACGGGATTGAAGGTCAGTAGAGACACAGGAGGGTGAAGGTCAGTAGAGACACAGGAGGGTGAAGGTCAGTAGAGACACAGGAGGGTGAAGGTCAGTAGAGACACACGGGATTGAAGGTCAGTAGAGACACATCAGACTGAAGGTCAGTAGAGACACACGAGGGTGAAGGTCAACAGAGACACGAGGTTGAAGGTCAATAGAGACATCAGGTTGAAGGCCAGTAGAGACACACGAAGGTGAAAGTCAGTACACACAAAGGCTATGCTAGTAAATTCACACTCACACTACAACTTGAGTTTAGCAAACACGTAACAACAAATTAAGTGTCTAGCATACTATAACAAAGTACAGTAACAAAACTACAGAATGACTAAGTACAGTAACAAAGAACAGACTGGCCAACTACAGTAACAAAGTAGAGACTGGCCAAGTACAGTAACAAAGTACAGACTGGCCAAGTACAGTAACAAAGTAGAGACTGGCCAAGTACAGTAACAAAGTACAGACTGGCCAAGTACAGTAACAAAGTAGAGACTGGCCAAGTACAGTAACAAAGTACAGACTGGCCAAGTACAGTAACACAAATACAAACTGGCCAAGTACAGTAACACAGGCTGACCAAGACTCCTGGAGCCAGTATTGTGGTTTTATATTAGAGTTGAATGAACGTGCGGCCAGCTAAGGGACGACACTCTGACTGGCCCAGAAGCTCCGGTAAAAAAAACCTACTCGAGATGACAGACAGGCTTCAAGTACCAAGTCTCTTGACATAGGAACGATCTTTAGTGAACCACTTGCCCCTTCTGGCGTACGGTCGAAAATGGCTTATGCCAGTTTATTTTTATCTGGCCAGTCTTAATGTGCTTTTAGCGCACGAATTGTAAAAATGCAAATGAAGGTTTATTTAATAAAAAAAAGAATAGTTTTCTTTTTCAGGAGAGCTGTCAAACGCTGTTCAATTAGACAAACCTTGAATTAAACTCTACATTACTTGAAGACGATGCTTATTCCAGCAAGAGTTCAGGCCCTTGTCTAGGTCTTTGCGCCGAAGGGAGGATGGGCCGAGGCGGATGACACATGCCAAATTACGCTGAGGTTGCCATGCATCATCCGTGTCACGAAGGTCCCTCCAAGTCCCGGGACGAAGTTTATTTCCGTTCGCTGGTTTGCCGCGAGATTGCCAGGGACTGCAATCGAGGGAGCTAACGTTTAAGGTGTGAGTTTAAACTCATTTCATGAGCCATTCCAGATTTTAAGACAGCTTTAAAACGCTGCAAAACCTATTTTTAAATTTATGGCATTTTTTTTTAAATTTAATGCATATTATAAACTTTTTTTTAAATAGAAAACTTGCAAAAATGAGGTTATAATACGGGAATCAGTAAATACAATATTATAAAATAATAATGATATAGTATTTTAAATTATCAAATTGTTATGTTCATAAATCTCGTATATGTTTTAGATGGTTTCGCGTGATTAACAAAATTAGTAACTTTCTTCGGTATTAAATCGACATATTTATACATAAGACGGGCTGAGTTGTGAGCATAACCCGTGTCAATGTCCATAACCCGTGTCCATAACCCGTGTCCATAACCCATGTCCATAACCCGTGTCCATAACCCATGTCCATAACCCGTGTCCATGACCCGTGACTGTTCCACATGTCAACGTTCACCTCACAACCTCCTCCTCCTCCCCCCCCCCCCCCCCACCCGGTCTTCATGTTTTGTGTTGTTGCTATGAACAAATATAAAGTAAATTGCACCCGTGCCTTTCGTATTACGTAAGACGGAGCTAAAATATGCAGACAAAAAACAAACTTCTACCGCGGTGAGCAATTTGCGCATGACACAAAATTGACACAAATGAGAACTGACGGGTATTCCCGTTTACCCAGACTCGCACTTTTAAGACGCCACTTTGTCATTTTTAGTGGGTTAGCTATTTATAGCCGTTACTAGGATCTTGTTTTTGTTTTACCTAATTTATGTGACGTTGATGTTGCTTTCTTTTTCTAATATTGAAAAGGTTAATTTACCTCTTAAGATATTTTTAATACTAAAAAGTTAAAAACTAACCTTACAATTGATGGTAGAACTACGCTGTTATTCTAAGATAAAAATCGTATTACTACGCCATTAATATAAACAAAAGTGTGTAAAGCTATACTTTAATCCCAAAGACTACCTTAACTGAATACCCCGCTTTTAGCCCACGTCTCTGCTCTAAGATAACTCTTCTTTAGGAAATAAAATTTTAGTAATACTGACAGGATCATTGTTTCATTAAACACAACAGTTTTATAAAACCGGTTCATACACTGTAAGATTGTATATGCTTTTATTAATTTTTTTTAGCGCAATTTCCATTCTGGAGAATTGCGTTTATTAACTCGTCATTTCTGGGAATGGATGGATGAATGTATGGATGAATGAATGTATGGATGAATGAATGTGTGTCCGGGCTTTAAGTCGTATCTCCTCCTCAACGAAGCAATATCGATGACTAGTTCCAAAAGCAATTATGTTAAGCAAGTTACGAGAATGAGCATAGGCCATAAAAATTCCGGGTTTCTTTCATGTATTTCCCGGAAAAGCCAAAAAACCTCGAAAAAATTCAGTTTTTGGCCCATATCTCGGCAACCAGACCACTTAGCGACTTGAAACATGTACCAATCGATTCCTGCCATAATTTAGAACAATATTGCCGAAGAAAGTTTTCAAAAATATCCTTTCGTTCGGTCACAAACAATTTTTGAATTAATTAAATTTGGACCGAATTAGTAGGCATTTTTTCCAACCACACCACACGCGTCATCACGTTCAATAGCTGCGCCATCGCGTTCCATGGCTGCGCCATCACGTTCAGTAGGCGCGCAATGGTTTTTAGTCATGTAACTCTATTGTAAATAAAACATGTAAAATACTGAAAAAAATTAATAAAAAACGTTTTAATAACTAACCAATGGTTTTACTAACCCTGCTCTTGATTTACGCTACGACAGAGCTATTTTTAGATAACGTAAGGAAATTGCGCTAAAATTGTCACTAGATTTTTTAATTACCTTGTTGTTGTTTTTTTTTCGGTTTTTATTTTATTTTATTTTTTGTTGAATAATACAATTACCATTATGTTGAAATGAATTTAAAAGAAAACTTTACATTTGTTTTCATGTTTGCATGTATAGTCTTTTTGTTGCTTTTTACAGAGTAAAGCAATAATAATGTACTTTTTACGTTTAAAATTTAGCTTGGCTAAAAATGTCAAATGACTATATTATAAACATCAAATGAAATTCTCGACGCTAAATCTCATTGTTCAGATAATTTTAAATATTACATCGCAATTTAAAACTAAAGATTCACATAATTTTGAAGTAAAAATTTGAGGGATGTGAAATAAATGTGAACAAAAAAAACAAGGCTGAATTTGCTGGTAGTCGCGAGAATGGTCCGGAGAAAATTTACGGTGCAAGGGAGGTGATCACGAATTTAATTTAGCTACGCTAAGTTATTTCAAATTCTGAGAGTTATCTTTCCTTTTACACTTTTACAACCGACTTCAATTAACTAAAGATTTTTTTATTAAATTATTATAGGTAGACTGTGAAAGCATAATACTGCGTTTACACTTGCGACATTTAATGAAACGTGTTCCGCAATTATTTTTTTAGACAGGCATTGTAGGTGTACATGTGGCAAATGTAAACGCGCTTTAAAAAGTGTAAGAGATACATTTGGTCAATGTTTTTACTGAAAATTAAGTTTAGATCAACTATTGATTAGAAATCGTTTTCTATATTTCGACAGCTGCTTGAAGAAATATGTAGAAATCAAATTAGAATGAGATATGATTTTACACTGTAGCTTGTACTGATTTTGATAGTTGATTGTGTACAGAATTTAAACTTCATTGTGTACAGATTTAGTTTGTCGATTGTGGATATATATAGATAGCTGTCAGGTTAAAGTCAGTATTACATAACGTATTACAAATGTTATTGTTAATATTACATCCCTAACTAAGTCATGACATGGTATAACAGTTCAAACCGTTGCAACGTAAACAACATTTTAGTGATCAAGTGGTAGGCTTTTATTCTTTTGCTGGAATTCCTCGAAGTTTTGTGTTTGTTGCCTGGCATCAAGACCTAGCATCGCATGGGAAAAAAACTAGCAAGGAAAATAAATCACGAGAAACAAGTCACATGAACAATTTAACTTTTAAAATGCTAATAAAATATAATTAATTAGTTATTAAAGTTTACTTTCTTAAGTACCCAATGTTTCCAACAAAGAAAGTCAACGAAGACCCGTCTATTCAAGCATTGTGTTTATTTGTAAATAGGTCGACTCTTTGGTATTTGAAATGTTGAATGGACACGATGGTGAGTGGATGTTGTGGGGGATGGCTGGAGTCGGGAGGTAGCTGTGGGTCTGGGTGTGGGTGTAGATGAATGTGGGTGTAGCCATGGATGTGGGTGTGGAAGTGTGTGTGGTTGTGGGTGTACCTGTGGATAGGGATTCGGGTGTAGTCGTAGATGTGGTTGTGGATGTAGCTTGAGTATGAGTGCAAATGTGGATGTAGTTGTAGATGTAGTTGTGGGTGTAGTTGCAGATGTTGTTATGAGTGTAGGTTTAGGTGTGGATGTGGCTTTGGATGTGGTTGTGGGTACAGATATGGATGTAGCTTAGGATGTGGTTGTGGGAGCAGATGTGGATGTAGCTTAGGATGTGGTTGTGGGTGTAACTGTCGACGAATCAGCACTGATGTAATATCACGACTATGAATTAAACTTCTGAAGACTCGAGATGACGAAGTAAAAGAAAGTCTGACAAGGAATCGTCGTCATCATCATCTTCATCCTCATCCTCCAGGTAGTCGTTGCGTTCAATGTCATACAGGTACCTGGTGGTCAACAAAGCGAGGGGTTAAACACACACAACACGAGGGTTAAACACAAACAACATGAGGGGTTAAACACAAACAACACAAGGGGTTAAACATAAAGATCACGAAAATAAAAGTTTTTACCAGTATTCCCTCCCACCCCCCACCCCCGCGGAAATTTTTCAAATCTTGCCCCTTACTTTGGATAAACCTTGATAAAAGAATAGAAGGCAGCGCTGAGCAGGCCAAAGACAAAAGGCATGAGAGAGCTTGATTTGGGCGCACTTCCGTACAAGTCGAAGCCAGGTATGGTCACACGGGATTCCATCCGGTCGCACAGACGTCCAAACACCAACGCACGTGCTAGAGCTTAGGTTAGCACGTCAGGATGTTCTGGCACCGCCCAGCAGACGACACACGTGCTGTCAAATACTGGCGCAGAACAAAAGAGTCCAGGAAATGTTCCATTGTGTGAGAGCATGAACAAAGATGACTTGAAAGACTTTTCAGATGGTACCGCTTTCACCTCTAGAAATAATGGCGACGTGTTTACTTCCGTTTTGCTTGCACCAAAACCAACAGTTATCGGAAATTTGTGGAAAAATAGAATGGTATTATGTTTTCTTTTCTTTTATTGGAATTTTAGATCTAATACGTAATCTAATTTTGAAATACAAACTTGATGAATAATATTAATATTTTAAAAATAATAAAATAATCTTGATATTAAAATTAATAGTAATATTATTATCATTATCAATATCAACCTCATTATTATTATTTTAACTAAATAAAAACAATGACAACAAAAACATTAATAAAAAATATATTAATACCACTTTACAAGGCAAAGTGTATTATTTACATCGCCAATTAGTGTTGCTATGAAGCAATAATGTCAAAAAGAATTCTTAAATACGTTAATGTAAACCAACAACTTGCTGAAAATGAAATCCCTCAAAGAAAAACAAACAAAAACAGGCTCTGGAAGCACACACAAGAAGCCGAAGATTATCGAGGCTTTAATCCCCTGGGGTGAATAAAAGATCACAACCAGGAAACCTGATGAAGTAAGTCTGGAATTACCTGAACGGTCGTTACCGCGACCCGGCACTGGGTTACCAGGAGGTAACGTTTTAGTAGTTGGCAGCAGTGTTTCTTTCAGGCATCTCTCCTGTGTGCCCCCCCCCCCCCCACCTCATTTGGAAGCGTCAACTACCCAGGGAGAACAATGTCTGAAAGAAACCCGGTTAGTAGTTATCTATGTCCCATTAGGTCTACTATCTCACTTGAATATGAACCACGTCATTGCTACACCACAGTAGCACATGTAAACCAGAATTCCCGATAGTGCGCATGAGAGAGCGTGCAAACAACGCCGGTGCTGAACGCGGTGAGCAGGAGAGGATGAGCGATCACCATTTGGAAAGGTCTGTCAACATGACTAGCTCTCCGGAGATTTCGGGGTAAATATACTCTCAGTAAACATTGCATTTCAGTATATGGGTTTATTATCGAAACTGCTGAAATTCTTACTAATTTCGTTATAGTTTTCTGTTTTTGTAAAAGTTTAACTAGACCATGTACGATGAAAAGAATTATTCTTTTGGTATAAAACATTTAAAAAACAATAGTGTACAACACACGTAGATCTAGACTACTTGTAGATCTAGATCTCTCTAGTGTACATTCCCTGTCTACCCATTAGTTAGACCTATTCATTGAAACACACATATGATTTCGATCCGAGTACACCGAGTGACTAACTACATTTAAATAAAACTCGAAGCGGAGTTAGGGATAGGGGTGGGTGGGTAGTTTGGAAGTTGATGGTCAGTTCACAAGTATGACTTGATACTAGTGTAAGTTTAAAGATGTTGGTCGTCTTGATTTTGTGGTCAGTTTATAATCGTTCGTCGACTTGATTCTGTGGTCAGTTTATAATTGTTTTTCGTCTTCTTTCTGTGGTCACGTATTTCTAAAGTTAGAGCAAGAGTTTACCCGTTGAAAAAGTTTATTATGGTCTCGAATATTATGGTCTTGTCCATGTGTAAATTAGCAATTTACAGAGACATGTCCCTATTGGTGAGACGTGTCCCTATTGGTGAGATGTTTCTCCATTGGTGAGACGTGTCTCTATTGGTGAGATGTTTCTCCATTGGTGAGACGTGTCTCTATTGGTGAGATGTTTCTCCATTGGTGAGACGTGTCTATTGGTGAGATGTTTCTCCATTGGTGAGCAGGGGCGGAACTATAGTGCCGCCAGACCCCGCAATGCGGGGGGGGGCCCAGGCCGTTTAGGGGCCCACTGCCGACCATGATCAATTTTTTTTTTATAGTTAAAGAATAATTTTCTTGTAAAAAAACAAACAGATCTACTACAGTTGTGATGTACTACAGTAGCTAACACACACTGTATCGTAAAGTTGTAGTGTGTAAGATAGGCAACCGTTCAAACCGCTTCCATGAGTTATTTCCCTTTTTTTAAATAGTCAAATACGTGTGTTCTTAAGAAACTTTAAATAAATTTGCATTAAACAAATTAAAAAGCAATTCCATCTCTTAATTATTATTTTTTTTAAATACATAATAAAGAATGAAATAGTAAAAAAGGAAATGTATTAAAAACTAATAATATAAATACAAAAACACTTTAAATAAACATAAGGCGAGAAAACATTACACATACAAAGCTTTCTTGCTTCATATTCTTTTGACCGACTTGCTAATTAGGAAACAGTATGTCAAACGTTGAAACAAAGAATTTCAAAACAGATTAATAGCACTTACACATGATGTGATATTGCTGTATTATGTTTTAATTAAAATAAAAACTAAGAATTTTTAAATTTTCAAATTTCGAACAAGCCCGAATTGATGTGTATATATATATATATATATATATATATATATATATATATATATATATATATATATATATATATATATATATATATATATATATATATATATATATATATATATATATATATATATATATATATATATATATATATATATATATATATATATATATATATATATGGGGCCCAAAAATTTTTTTTGCGGGGTGGCCCAATTTTTCTAGTTCCGCCACTGTTGGTGAGACGTGTCTCTATTGGTGAGATGTTTCTCCATTGGTGAGACGTGTCTCTATTGGTGAGATGTTTCTCCATTCATGAGTCGTGTCTCCATTGGTGAGCCTTGTCACTATTGGTGAGACGTGTCCACTTGTTGTCAGCCGTGCCCCTATAATTACAACTAATGTGAATTCGGCTGGATGATAGCATACTTTTCGCGCTAGAATACTACATACACCGACACAATTACATCTAGAATATTACATACACCGACACAATTACATCTAGAATATTTTATACACCGACACAATTACATCTAGAATATTACATACACCGACACAATTACATCTAGAATATTACATACATATTACGTACACCGACACAATTAGATCTAGAATATTACATACATATTATATACACCGACACAATTACATCTAGAATATTACATACATATTACGTACACCGACACAATTAGATCTAGAATATTACATACATATTATATACACCGACACAATTACATCTAGAATATTACATACATATTACGTACACCGACACAATTAGATCTAGAATATTACATACACGGTTACACCGACACAATTAGGCCTGAATTAGGGCATAGATGTTTTCCCTTGTTCAGTAACATGACCATAAAACAAATGTTTAGTTAGTGTGTTTGTTTTCAGCTAACACCAGACAACTCCACGTTGTCAGCATGTGTGAAAACAGTAAGAGTTAGTGCCCATGGACGAGTCCCGAAAAGTCACGTCGCCCTTGTTGTGCCAGGAGGCGGTCAGTCTCATGATCTATGGCACCATTGGAATCATCATCATCTTGTTCCTCCCTTACTGGATCCGGCAGCAGATGGACCTCTATTACCTCAAGGTAGCGTGCCCTTGTTTGTGGGTCTTGTTGTACCATAGCTCTACAGCGTACTGCATTTAGCGTGGTTTGCTATTGATTACATTCTTTTAATTGGGCCTTTGTGTCTGTCCGTGGGTAGGTGTGAGGGTGGGTAGGTGTGAGGGTGGGTAGGTGTGAGGGTGGGTAGGTGTGAGGGTGGGTAGGTGTGCGGGTGGGTAGGTGTGAGGGTGGGTAGGTGTGTGATACATTGTGTGATACTTGTGGCCAGTTATAATGTAGCGATTTTTCCACCAGATAAATTAATTTCCGATGGCAACAATGTCTTCCTTTCAATTAAATAAATATATAAATATAATTTAAAACAAAATTACAGCATACTATAGTAAAAAAACAAAAGGGGAGATAACAAAATTAAAAGGTAGAGACCACTCGATAAGGCGGATGAGCTGTTATCATCTAATGTTTGCAAACACACCCCATCATTTACCCACAACTGACCCCACCCCGCCTCTCCAGTGACCTTCAACTTTCCCCACCCCACCTCATTATTTACCCACTACTTACCCCACCACACCCCACCCCAACCCGCCTAACCATTTACCCGCAACTTACCCCACCCCACCTCATTATTTACCCGCCACTTACCCCATCCCACCCAACCCAACCCCACCCCACCTAACCATTTTCCCGCCACTTACCCCACCCCGAATCACCCTTTTACCCGCAACTCACCCCCTACACCTGACGTTTCTCCTGTCCCCAGTCCGTAGCGAGGCAGGCACGTGAGCGCTACATGCAGCAGGTCACGGAGGAGTACAGGCAGTGGGAGCTCCAGGCACAGCGGGAGATGTTCAAGAGTCAGCAGACGGAGTCACACAGTGAGCGGGAGGAGGAGCGTCAGCAAGAGTTTGATGAGGAGGACACGCGTGACCCCCCGACTGCCCACGGCCTCGCCCACGAGCTCAGCCACGGGGACCAGTAGGAGACCATCGGGTTCCCACAGTGCCAGAGATATTTGTCATGACAAACTTTAGTCGCACCAACGGCTTGGAGTTTTTATTTAACATAATAGCGAATGAGCTATTTGTGTTTCATGTGTAACTAATGACTATCTAACATATATATTTGTTAATATTTGATAGAACTGTTCGAGTATTGGACAGGAAATACAAAGACATAACGTCAGCATGAATTCTATAGTTCAAACATCGTATATCAAAGTTGTAGTTGCGGTGAGATGAAGACAATCATTAGCATAACGGTTTAAGGCCGAAGGATGTGGTCTACTTTATTTACCTTAAACCTATATCATCATTTTATATACATCAATAAAATATAATGTTCTACAAGTTTGTGTTGTTTTTATTACTCTCATAACGTAAGGTTGGCAGTTGTTCTACCCTTAACAAATTTGTTACATTTTTTTTACTAATTGCTCAGGACATTTTCAATTGTTTTATAAATATGTTCTATATATTTAAATATTTTGACTGTTTTGTGTGTTTTTTAATATTGTGCAACAAAAAGGCCCACACGCTATGACGTAATCGATTTATTTCGCCATTGAACCCTCGACTATCAGTTGGTGGAGACCGATGCTTTTAGTGGCGTTAAAATGTGTTTACACTCAACGTAAACAAATTTTGATACGGTTGTCAATGACAACGCCGCTTTAATTACTTTAATCATATAGCGCCTTATAAAATGGGACTGGTTCTGACTAAAAACACAATAAATCTAATGTGGACTATCCTGTTTTCAGTGGAGTATTGATGGCAAGTTTCAATGCTATATTTCTCAATGTATTTGGCCTGTATATGGCAAATTTCAATGCTTTTTGCTACCCAAGGAACTAGTGAGTTTTAATCATCTTGGTTGATTTAATTCTGATCCTAACTAATGGTAGATAATATTATAGGAACAATTTAAAACCCCTAACATGTCACGTGATGGTAGCACTGCTAATGACGACAGTGGGAATGTGACAAGGATTAACCACGCGAAAAATGTGACCATTATAGACTGTGAAAATGTGACAAGTGTTAGCTACACTAACGGGACCAGTATAGAGTGTGAAAATGCGACAAGTTTTAACTACACTAACTGGACAAGTATAGACTGTAAAAATGTGACAAGTGTTAACTACACTAACGGGACCAGTATAGACTGTGAAAATGTGACCACTCCTTACAACGTGAATGTGACCGACATGCCCCACGTGATGACCGTATTCGACATCACAGTGAGTGTCTTCTACTTCACGCTGTGTGTCGTCATCGTCTGCAGCAACGGCATCACTCTGGTTGCTATGTGCAAAACACCAGCACTGAGGGCTCTACAGGTACATTGGTGTTTTGTTTTACTTCCAATGTTAGGTGCTTCTTCTTTTGTGGTTGTTTGTTTTTAATTTATTTGTTTGTTTTTTATCTCTAAACTTAACCGTTAACTTGAATGAATTGAGTGTGCGAGTAAATCTGTTTCATGCTGTTAAACGGTGTATGTAATCGTTTTGTTGACTTTCTGCTGCTATGTTAAACGATGTATGTAATCGTATGTTGCCTTTTCCCTCCTATGTTAAACGATGTTGACTTTCTGCTGCTATGTTAAACGATGTATGTAATCGTATTTCGACTTTCTCCTGCTATATTAAACAATGTATGTAATCGTATTTTGCCTTTCCCCTCCTATGTTTAACGATGTATGTAATCGAATTTTTCCTTTCTCCTCCTATGTAAAACAATGTATGTAATCGTGTGTCCTTCCTGCTTTCAGACTAAGTACATCCACTCTCTGGCAGTAGCAGACTTGCTGGTGGGCTTGACGTATTTTAACATCACGATCCTACACGTCACCAACACCAAATGGAATGATGTAATTATTTTCTTCAATGCCACTAGACTTATAGAATATACATTTCATAATGACATTTTTTTTTAATATTAGCTAAGTCACTAGACTTAAGTAATATAAATTAAAATTTAATTATGACATTTGTTTTTAAACAGCGAGATTTTTATTTTAAATAGATAAATTAGAAGTTCAATAAAACCAGCATTGTTGGATCGTAATATTATCTTATCAGGCAGATTAGAGCTAACAGTGATAGTTATTGGGTTAATTTTATATTGATTTTTATTTTACGAAGCATAATGTCAACCTAAAAGTGTTTATCACAGCTCTCTTTGTGCATTCGTTTGTGCATGCATGTTATCCATGCTAGTATAACATATCATCACACCATGGTGCTGGTATAACACACAATAGCACCTTAGTGCCAGTATAACACATAATTAAACCATATTACCAATATAACCATATGTACACCATTTCAATGCCAGTGTAACCCATATGTTCACCATTTCAGTGCCACTATAACCCATATGTTCACCATTTCAGTGCCACTATAACCCATATGTACATCATTTCAGTGCCAATATAACCCATATGTGCACCATTTCAGTGCCACTATAACCCATATGTGCACCATTTCAGTGCCAGTATATGTGCACCATTTAAGTGCCAATATAACCCATATGTTCACCATTTCAGTGTCAGTATACTATCGCCTGCCTGTACTCTAGCATCACCATCAGCATGTTCACCATGTGTTCTGTGGCTGCAGACAGGTACATCTACATCGTCCACCCGTTCTTCTACCTACGTCACATGACCGCCAAGATTATCGTCTGCAACATTTTGTCTCAGTGGGGGCTGGCGACAATATACGGCTTTATGTCTGCTTACATTTCCATCCGAGGGACGCAAAAGGTAAAGTTGGTCCTCTTGTACATTATGGTGTCTTGTCCCGTTTGTTGTAGTCACGTGACCTAAACTGTTGATAACAAATCTGGAATTGATCATAAAAAGTCTACTTTTACATCGTCATTTTTTACTTTTTTTTGTTCTATTGTTTGTTCGTTTGTAGTGTTTGTTGTTGTTTTGTTGTTGTAGTTGGGTTGTTGTTTTTTTTGTGCATTTTTTTAAAGGCATGAGATTCTTTTTCTTAAAGTTTGATCTCATCTAATTTTTTTTTAAATAGTTCCTCTTTCCTTTCAGTGGTGTGATCCAATTCTCTCAATACAGCAGGACTATTTTAGCTACGTGATTCCCGTGTGCTTTGTGGCTATCTCTATAGGAATAGCTATCATGTACGGCCTCATTGCAAGAACAGCGAAACAACACTTTGATAGAAAAGTGAGAAGACTTCAAGACATGCAAGGCGTTTTAAGCAATTGTTCCAATGCTACAATCCAAATGAAATCGCCAGTCAGTCTCGCACAGAAGCTTCGTAGCGCTTTCAAGTTGAGAAATACAAGTAGAGAGGCGAGTTGTTTTCACGAACTAACACCATGTGCCGATCAAGATGGCGTCGGTCGTTCGGAAACAAACGCTTCAGCTGCAGAAGGTCACAGTGCTGGTCCAAAGGGTCACGATGCTGGTCCACAAGGTCACCCTGACCTTGTGGTCCCGTCAACCCTGGCCTCCTTCCGGTGGATCAAGCAGATGGTGGTTGTCTTCGGGTTGTTCACGGTCTTCTGGACACCGGTCATGGTGTACATCATCCTGTCCTTCGTCTACAGCATCAACTCCCAGGTCCTGGGCGTCCTCTTCACGCTTGGTATCGCCAACTCGGCCGTCAATTTCTTTGTTTACTCCTACTACAACAGCAAGTTCCGTCAGGTCATCAGGGGCATGTTTTTATATGGCTGCAAATCTTACAGGTCGTGATGCTATCAATAGAAGGATTATGGTTGTAAAACTACTTTTTTAATTGTGAATTATTGGATTTTCTCCAACACACCTATATATTGCAAATATATATATAGCATATATATTTAACCATCAGAGGCGTAGCGAGGGGGGGGGGGGCGGGGGGGGGGGGTGGACCGCACCGGGTGACACCATTTAGGGGGGTGACACCAATGCAAAAAATAGCAAAATATATAGAGAAAAATTTGAGGGGGGGGTGCAAATCGAAAGTTTGAAAGTTTGTCCCCGGAAAGGGTCGCTACGCCTCTGGGGGGGGGGGGGGGGGGGGTGACACCATTAAGTGCCGCATCGGGTGACACCCGACCTCGCCACGCCACTGTTAACCATATATATATATATATATATATATATATATATATATATATATATATATATATATATATATATATATATATATCTTGTAACCTAGTTAATGTAGGCCCCCTACTTGTATACTTGCCAATTAAAATAAGCATGTATAGCCATATATAAATATATATATATATATATACATATATATATATGTATATATATATATACATATATATATATATATATATACATATATATATATGTATATATATATACATATATATGTATATATATATATATATATATATATATATATATATATTCCTTGTAACCTATTTAATGTAGCCCCCCCTACTTGTATACTTTCCGATTACAATGAATATGTACATTCCAATTAACTGCCGTAAGTTAATTAAATACACCCATTAATAAGTTTTAATATTGTAATCCTCTAAATATTCTGATCTAGATATTTTTTTAAATATTTTTTGTCTTTTGTGTTGTACGTAATTAAAAGTCTAATTCAACTAACAGTGTCAATAAACCAAAACGAGAGTCCTCAATTTATACACAACTTTTTATTTGGATTAATTTGTTATGCTAAGTATTACAATATTTCCCAGAAGTTTACTTGAACGTTCTGGACTATTTAATTTGACTATAACGTTAGACCTGTTTTTTTTTCTTTAAAAATATAACTAAAGTAAACAATAAACATTATCAACTTAATCTGCAATATTTTAAAAGTATAAAGTTTAAAGTTTGGTTGTTTCAGATTATGATAAAGGCCAATGTCTAACTAAAAGTAACGTCGAGTCACTGACTTCGATACTACTAAAGTGTAACCACGTGGACAGGCTGGAGTTTCTTGAATGGGCGGACCCTCCACTTGTCTGGTGTCTGTGTCTGATCAGATCGGGAGGGGAGGTGACCATAATCAGGTTATGCAAAACGCGGTCTGCAAGAGCCTGCATTGTCTAAATTGATTAGGGACCTGTCTCGGGGGGCTGTTCTTCTCGCTGGCCGCGGGAAATCAAATTTGTTTGCACGTTTAGATAAAAATTTGAACGAATCGAAAGAGAATCTAAATCGAATCAAGTGAAGAAGATGGTTGGGTTAAAGTCGTTTCCACCATTCTGGTCAGCAAGCGCACCTGAGCACCGAGGAAATCACTCCGCCCTTCTTCAACTAATTGGCCAGCGAGCAAGCGACGAGAAGTAATTCCTACCACTGACTTCCGGGGAAGGATTTTCTAAGGAAATTAAATTTATCGCAGCGCATTGTGACGCTTGTCACGAGCTGGACTATTTCGGATAAAACTGAATGGCAGATCTGACGTCAATTGGTAGCCCAATGCCCATTGGCTAGCAGTAACGTTAGCTGAAGTATGAGCAGACTTGAGAGGTATTCATGCAGGCGTGAAGACTAATAATCACCGCTACCTAGTAAAAGTTTCAATCATTTTAGGAACTTCTTTCTTTTTTAACTGCATGTGATTTTGTTGCCGCTGTTGGTAAATGTCATTTTTGTGTAGGCCGCCAAGATTTTCACTGACTATCAAATTTTCTACAATTTATGTTCATCAAAACACCCTAATTATACATTGTCTAGGTATATTACTGGATAAAAAAGTCCACGAGCCATCCTTCTTTCCTGAAACCCTCTGTCTCCATATCTCCACTCTGATAGCAGATTTGTCAGTGGTGGCTCTTCGTGTCCATACGTCTGATGGTCGCCATCTTTCTTGACATGTCATTAAAGTTTACCTGACGGGTCATGTCGTTAAAGTTTACCTCACGGGTCATGTCATTAAAGTTTACCTGACGGGTCATGTCATTAAAGTTTACCTCACGGGTCATGTCATTAAAGTTTACCTCACGGGTCATGTCGTTAAAGTTTACCTCACAGGCCATTTGATCAATGACCAACTCTTTATCCCTTGATTGTAAATACATTTCTGATCGCAACCAAACGTGTGGGCCTATAAAGAAATGGAAGACAATGGTGCAGAAAACACCTTCGTAATTAAAATAAACAGCCATTATAACTAATTGAACAACTCTCGAAGTTCAAACTCCCAATTCGAAAATTAATCGATCCTTCTCTCAACTACGGTAACAAATATCAATAATCCGGTAACTAGCCTATGTGGACCGAGACTCTATGGCGTTTCTGGGTGGCTTTAAAACAACAATCATGGTACGTATAAATAAAATATGATTTTCTTAACACAAGGTAGTGTTACCGACAACTAGATCTATGTCATTTTTTGTCTACTATAACCATATTGGCCAGCAACATGTTGCTGGTATATTTTTGACCAATGGATTTCGTCAATACTTCCCGCTCTGCTTTCTATTTTCAGCTTTGAGCAAGGAGGTCACATGCAGAGTTTCTTCTAGGCATCCCCCCCCCCCCGAACGTCTGCCGCTCTGCCTTCCCCACCCGAACGAAATAGAATTTATATATAAATATATGCTTCTACCAGAGTCCGCAGCCCCCCTGCCCCCCGGAAAATTTAATCCGCCCTCCCCCATTAAAAAGGAGCACATCTTCCCCCCCCCCCCCCACACACACACACATTCACGGAGAAAGAAGGCTAAAAAAAAGAAACACTGGTCCTCTGCAACTGAAAGGCTCCCTTCTGCCAATTAGACAGCACTTGCTAGCGCAGACCAGAATTAATAGCTATATAAGTTGCCACAAAAATACAACGCTGAAGGCACACGACAAATCGGCTCCCATCAAAAGGGCTCCAGTCAAAAAGCTCACAGGGGTCTCCAAACTAAGGCCCGCTAGGTCCTCTCATCCGGCCTGCGGAGATCTTTTTGTCCAAGGGGGAAAAAATGTCTGTTGGTGGTGGTTGATGAACTTTGCCCAGAAAATTCAAAACAATTTGAAAATGTAGCTTTGGGTGTAAATACCACTGCCCGCCGTGTTCCAGACATTGGTGAAAACCAGTGTTTCTTTCAGACTTATTTCTCCGGGGGGTGGCACTTGAAATTTTTCGGGGGGGGGGGGGGGGGGGACGACGACACTGTTAAAAGTATATATTTTCTAAATAAATTCCATTTCGTTCGGGGGGGGGGGGGGGGGGGGGCGGTAGACTTTCTTCTCCCCCGACGAGATGCCTGGAAGAAACTCTGGTGAAAACATTGTCATTCAAATAGCGAAAAAATGCAAGCAAGTTTCGCCATTTTAAAATTGCAATGGTTGAGTCTTGTTTTCTTTGTGTTTGGGTTTGTGTTTTCGTTTGGGATTGTAATTGCGTTTGCGTTATGTTTGCGTTTTTTTTTTTTTTTTTTTTTGGTTTGTGTTGGTTGTGGTTAGGGTGGGCAATGCCGGGTATATGCTGATTACTAAACACACATGTCATGGTCCTTTACAGATAGGTTTTTCACAGAGGCCAGTGCAGAATTAAAATTATTTTTAAACAAGAATATCGAGATGTGATTTTTTTATTCAGGTTTTTTGGTATATTAAGTTTTTAATTAATTTTAATTCACCTTGACGATCAAATCAACTACATTTCTAGATCTAGATCTAGAATTTATTTTATTTTCGTTTTATTTGAGAAATGTAATGCTGTCGGGCTAATGTATAGACCTAGGTTTGTAAACTTGGACCATTTTAGGTTTAAAATCTGGCTTCTTTGAACAAATGTCTTTGTAACTTTTTTTCAAGAAAGTCTGTTTAGGCTTATGAATGTGGCCCACTAACCAGGCCTACCTACACTAGTGTGATTTCATGTTTATCAATTATATAATAAAATAAAAATTTAAACATAATTAAAGTTAAAGTAATTTAAAGTAATTAAAATTTAGGTAACCTAATCTAACTATCTCTTTAGGTACGTAAAATCGGCCTGTTTTTCACATTACTAGATTCTAGATCTAACTACAACTTCTAGTCGCGGGCGATTTTAGTATTTACTAAACTACTAAACTTACCTAACTAAACTGACTAACTCTAAACACTAAAAAAATACCTAAACTAAAACTATAGTCAGATTTATTAAAGATTAGGCCTACCAAATTTTAATTAAATTCATTCTAGATCTAGAGTAATTATAATATTTCACATTTTTAGGAGGATTTAGCTAGATCTCAGATCTATGTTTTAATTAAAAGTTACAAAAATATTTTAAAGTTTCATTAATAATTTGATAATGTACCTGTTTTCAAACCATCGTATTAAAACGTTTCAGTAATAAATAAAGTCTAGCGATGTTTTCATCAGATGCAACCAAGCTCATTTATTTTATTTAGCAACCATCTTGTTTAAGTTATTTTTGGTAAAATTATTGTTAGAGATTCAGGGGAAACCACTCTAACTTACAACAGCAAATAGCAAATCTTGCTCGCAAACACTGCTGTTTAAAGTTAATTTCTAGCCTATATATATTGATATATTTCGTATTATTTAGCCATTGATTTTGGTTTATTATTTAGTTATCAATAATATTTTACACAAATATAGATCTATCACAATATATCAATATAGAGTCTACTTCTATTAAAGCCTTAACAATGAGGCAACTTTTTCTCACATTACTAGCCTCGGCAGATTTTACGCACCTAAAACGATAGATTACTAAACTTTAATACAAGCAATAAATAATAAATAGATCTAGATCTAGGATCTAAGTCACAATTATTATTTTAAGTACTAGATTCTAAGTCTTAGATCTATGTAAGACTCTTACAAATTTCCATATTATTTAATATTTATATTTCTAGCTTTTGAATGCTTCTGTTCTAATAAGTTCTATTCACATGTCACCCACAGATTGTCATACTGAAGAAATAATATCAGAAAAGGAAATGGCGTATTCACAGATATTAAAGCTCACAAGTGATGAAGATCATATTTTCAGTTGCTGGTACTGTGATTTTAAAACCAGGTTGTCTGAAACAAGAGACTTCCACTACTTGACAGTGCATATTTCTCAAGTTTCTGTATACTCTTGTCCCTATTTAATAGATGAATGTGAATTTCAAAACATTATGCCCCATGAAGTTGTTAAACACCTCATGGATATTCACATAAAGCCACTTGGAGAAACAGTGGGAAATTATAGATGTAACATGGACTGTTTATTTTGTAACTTTAAAAGCCATGCAGAATCTGGCCCAATGGACATCCACTTAACAACACATTTGGTAAAGGGTACACTTTATAATTGTCCACAGTGTCAGTTTTCCTCTATTTTAATAAAACAAGTATTTTTGCACATGACTAACATTCATTTTCTAAAAACAAAACAAGAATTATTTGAGAAATTTGAAATTGATGATTCTTGTTTAAAAAGCAAACATATTGGTCTGGAAAAAAGAAGGAATCATTTTAGAAACGATTGTGAGAATCAGAGTGAAAAAATCAATGTTGATAAAAGTTCTTCCTTTCAAACTGAATTGGGTCTCACACATGAAGCAAATTACACAAATTTATTTCTAAATGAGGATGTCAAAAATATGCAGTTTCAGACAGCTCTGCTTACAGTTACAGGCTCAAATTTACCTAAGGAATCAAATGGTATATTAGAATCAGCTGATTCTAAGGCAATAAATGGTCATCGCAAACGTCATCCACAGAAAATTGTAAGACACTATAATACTAGATTTCATATTAAGTGTAAAATGTGTGATCCTATTGTTGATGAAACTAATTCTTCAAAAAGTCTTAGAATTAAGGATTTAAAGAGCCTCACATTTGATTACAAAAAACTAAACAAGCCTAAAAGAATTATTTCCTACTCTTGTGTTCTTTGTGGGAAATCTTTTTCTCGAAAGTTTTCTTTGAGGTTTCATTTAAAGCTCCATCAAAAAGGAAAAGATAGACTTTTGGTTAAAACGACATGTAGCACACTGAAGATAATTAATAAAGTGAACAAAACTTCAAAAAACATTAAAGCCCTTTGTAATGTGAAGGTTCAAACATCTCTCAATAAAAAACAGTATCTTTCCAATGCAGCAATTTCCTACTTATGTGTTCAATGTGGGAAATTATTTCCTAAAAAAACTGCTTTATGGTTGCATTTAATGGTCCATACTCAAGGAAACTGTAACATCATTGCTAAAAATATGATAGATAAAATAAACTTAATTGACTTTATTTTAAATGATTCTCTTTTACGATTAGTCAAACGCAAGGACCATTAAACTATTTATACTGATTTTTTAAAATCTGTAATAATTGTGTACAATTTTCCTTGTCTTTTCCCAGCACAAAGAATAATTTTCTTAAAGCATATCATTATCTATGTGCTGCTCTGTAAAAAACAGCCATAACTCAGTACCAGAAAAATCCACAAGTTTACTTGCTTGGCCTTTTAAAAATTTAATTTCATTAACAATATACATTTTTTATAGTTCTTTTCTACTTTAAATCAGGCACTTGACAATGATATTCAGCTTAAGTAAAGCATTTGTAAAACATTTATTGTATATAGGGCCTATCGATTTATTTTATAATAGATTTACTTTTCATTTAAAACCGCTTCTTTACTGTAAAATTTCTTGTAATTTATACTCATGATAACCCTGTATTTCAGAAATACAAATGTATGTAGTGTATTAATTTACTTACATTTTAAATTAATGTAATGATAATTTAACATTTTTTGCTTCTTCTATTATTTTTTTCACCATGAATTGCTTTATCAACATAAAGATGCATTAAATTTGAATGCATTATCTGGTTGTCTATTAAGCACAAGTATGTTTCTGTTATTATTGATTAGAGCAGATAGCTCAACCTATTTTTTATTTTTTTCTCTTGTATTCTTATTTTTTAATTTTCTGTTAAGCACCTTCTTTAGGCTCACACTACCATGTATCAAAATGTATTTTCAACAGGCAAGTTATAGGTTAATTAAAACATCAATATAATCAAATGAACAATACAATGGACTCAAAGAACTAAAAACTTATCTTATAGTATACTTTTAAAAATGTATTAGTATTATAATTTGAGTAATTGATATATTTTTTTTTTTGTGCGAATTAAGGATCGCCTTGCACCTTACTGGTCATGGAAAACATATCTTATGGAGGTTACTACGTGGTTTTGAAGTTAGGTTAGGGTATTAGGCATGTAGTTGAGGGATATGAATCTTATAAACAAAAAATATTCTTAAAATTGTGTTGACTTTTCTTACCGATAATAAGTAATACTTAACTAATTTAACTTTAACCTTTAGTGTGTGTAAAAGAATTGTGTTTGAAATGTGTTAAATTAATGAAAACTTACCATGGTAGTTCAGATTTTATGTACAATTTAAGTTTCATTAACAATTACATACATATTGTAACTTGAATAATAAAGTTCACCAATATCTGACTCAGCATGTGTACCTTTCTTTGTTAAGTGTCTTTACATAATAAATATGGTCTAGTACATTGGAAAGGGTGAAAAATAGAATTCTCAATTGAAATAACCATAAAGTGGTTTGAAAAAAATAGTTCAATCAATGATTCACAAACCAAATTTCTCAAGGAATTTTTTTTTTTAAAGAAAAAGAGTAGAAAGTTAGCTTGTAGTTGCCAGATTAACCCCTTGATGCATGCACATCCATCACTCATTGGTAGAGGTTGATTTTTAATGTGCAAGCTTTTCCAAAGTCACCTCAGGAATTATTCATTTTTCAATTCCACATTAAGGGAAAGGCAATCAATCAAAGGGATAAAGATGGAGTTAGGCACCAATTGGACATCCACTATTTAGTATGTAATATCATTACATTGTGCTTACAGGTTATCAAAACTACACTTATACTCTCTCTTTACAGGGCATAACTGATTTAATCAATTCGTAAAAGCCAGTCAGACCAGAAAAGAATGAAGAATTTTAGAAATCTAACATTCCTCATTAAGGATTTTTTATGTTAAGCATAAGTATTAAGTACTGAATTTGTATCTTTTGGATTAGCAATAGGGCTGGTAAGTAGGTCACCAATCAGTTCTATGGCTCATGCAGGTTTTATTGAGCCAGTAGAGCTGGTTGGTGACCTACTTACCAGCCCTATTCTCCTTTCTACAACGACTATGCTTTTTTCATCCCAAAAATAAACATTATTTAATTATAATGTTATAGTATTTATACTTATAGGCCTTTTAATACTACTATCTTGCATTATTTCCTGTTTTATAAAAAAAAAAATTATTAGTATAGTTTAGTATTACTATTATGGGCATTGAACATGGCCTAAACATAACTTCAAAAAAATCTAAGTATGTCTACTGTTTGAAAATTATGGGACATCATGGTCATATGGTAGGGCATGCTAACTTAAAAGTCTTGAGTTCGGATCCCAGACTGGGAATTGTCAGTGAGTCCAGCCAACTCTGATAAGTACCTGACTTGTTGGGGAAAGTAAGTAAGACAGCTGAGCATAATATGATAATCTAGTAGATCTAGAATCTAGTAGTCATAGTGCTGACCAGGCTATCATCAGTATCACTTCTGTTCTTGACTAGGTCACATAAATTGTGACATAAATAGATGAGCTCTACTTCATCTGCCCCATGCCCCATGTACCGCCTGGTTCGCAAGGGCAACTTTACTTTTGTATTTGAAAATTAGATTTTGAAATATGATTGTAACTCTCCCTCACTCTTATGATAATAAAATTACATTATGTTCGTTGTTGGTAGGCCCAACTAGAATTTATATTTAACTCATATGGTCTCTTAAAAGGCCAAGGCTATTCCCAGCCGGTTGGGAATAGCCCCAATACGGCTATTCACAGTCGACTGTGAATAGACACTTCGCTCTAAACACCCCATGCGGATCATCTCAACGACAGAATCGTTGAGCCTCTCTCCGACTGTGTCGCTGAGAATAAAACCCTTTGGTGGTTTCTCAGTCAACACTGTCGTTGAAAATAAAACAATAATTAAACATGCTCTCCACAATTAGGAAAGCATAAACTGTAGGTGTTTTGAAGCTAATATTCCAGCCATTTTGTTTTGACGAGAGCTAGTCCAGATCTAGACTAGATCTACTTGATCAACGATTTACACTGATGTAAAACCTACGTAAATCAAATCTACAAGATCAGGATTTACATTTAGATCTAGAAATCTACATTATTGACTAGAGAGAAAAAGTTAAAAGTATGCCTAGTGCTTCGAAAGTAAATGATAGAATCTAGATCTAGAAAATCTAGTAATTTTTCAGTAGCACTAGCTAGATCTAGTCTAGATTGTCTAGATTGACTAGATAGAAAGATAATTATTTCTGTGGCATAGCTGTCCTTTAGCATTTAGGATCTAGATCTAGATTTCTAGAAGTCTAGATCTACTCAATTTTAAATCTCTTCTATTTCAAATTGTTTGTAGATCTATATCTACAAGATTAGGCTTAGGTCTAAAAATATACTAAAGTTAAAGCTACACAAGTACACATCATTCCTAAACTTAATGCCATTAATGGCTAAAATTCACTGAGCATTGTTGCACTTAAGACTTAAACGTAAGGCCTAAATAAATACTAAATAAAATTATTACGTTAGCTTAGTTTTCGTGACAGCTTTTCTCTTCTTTTTTGCCATGCTTAATTTAAGTCACTTTCATGTGCTGGTAGCTTAAAATAAAACTTGTTTAGGAAGTTTATTTCTTTCTCCCTTTAATAATGCTGCAAATATGAGTAAGACGCTTATTATTATAATTAAATAGCTGCGATAAATAATCATTTGCATCTTTTTGGGGGTATTTCTTTTACATGAACTGTGAAATACGGTATCTCAAATTTTGCGCGTAACTCAAAGCGAAATATTACTCGCTCAACTGCTCGTATTTAAAAAATCTGGTATGTCGAGGCACTAGAATGTTGAGGTACCACAGGATCTACTATGTATTGAAAGAAAACATAAATTAATTATAGAATAATAGGCAAATATAGTAATAAAGTAGGCCTTATAGCTTTAGATTTTATTCAGCCTACTAATAAATAATTAAATAGGCCTAAAGTAGTACTAGATATTAGTTAAATCACTAGTTTTGTTTAGGGTTATTTTTATTAAAAAAACAGATCACATCTTATACATTAAGGCGGGCTCAATAAAATAAAAATAATTTATTTAGGACCTAGGCCTATCTTTTGGAGATCTAAAATTCTAAATGAAAAATAAATTATTAATTAGACCAACAATAGGCATAGTATGCTAAATCTATTTTAGTATTTAAATTTAAGGCTCGGCCATCTACTAAAAATTTTATAAATGTCATAAAATGGCCTACTTAATTATAATTACTAATTACTATTAGGCCTAAGTTTAAACTAGAGATAGCCTATTTTATTAGTAGAAAAAGTATTAGTCATAGTTAAGATGGTATAGCCTTATGTAAATTAATGTAATCAGTGTTAGATATTATGATATCGATCAAGCAATTATTATATAATATCGGAAAGGGGCCTAGCACTCTCTTAGTCATTAGTCTATTAGGTCTTACAAGTAGTTTAGCCTATTTATATATTATAGGGCCTATAGGCTGTTATTTAAATTAGGCCAAAGGCTTATTAGGAAAAGGCTTAATAGGCTTTAGTTTTTAATTAGGCAACAAGGCAGAGGCTTAATGTTGCTTATAGATTTAATTTGAAATTATTATGATATACGCTACTCTGCGACTATCACTATAGACTGCTATAGAGTATATTATAGCCTAGGCCTATCTAAATAAAATAATTCAACTCACTTAGCTTACTATAATTTTTAAAAATGTTTAGTTAAGTATTCAGCTCTCTATGTCAGCTAAGGCCCATAATTGTAATTATCCTACTGTTAGATCTATTCATTATTTAATAATTAGTAGGCCTAATTATAGGAATTAGGTCTGATACATTAAGTCCTATACATTGGTCGTAGAGTAATACTATTGGGCTAGTAATTATATACAATATCTATACAAGCCTACTTATCGTTAATTTGGAAGTCTTTGCATTGACCTTAGTTTTCAGATGTAGCAGCCTAATTTTTATCAGATTATACCATAAAATCAAAAGTAGACTTGTAGATCTTTTTAAAACAAGGCATGAAATATTAATTTAAATAATATAAATTAAACAAATAGCCTAAATAACAACTACACAAAGTTAAAGTCATAATAACTTTTTATAAAGGTATCTTGAATTTCAACTGGAGGTAGTTTTGATAAATATTAGTATTCTGAACATTAAAATAAGTAGACTTAACATACATTTGTTCTGAAAACATATTTAGAAATTGGTTTTAAAAAATGAGGTTAGGATTGGGGTGATAACTAGTTGAGGATTAGATATGATATTCATTGTGTTTATCCATGTTGTAATTTCTCTTTTACAGGTTCATCCAAAAAAAGGGAAGATCTGATTTTTACCAGTAATAAGACTACAGCATACTAAATGACACAAGATGTTCTTTCTCTATTACCTCTTACATTTGACATAAAAGTAGGAAAAGGTATGACAATTATTAATAAGCTGCTTTAAATTTTATAATTTGTTTTTTTATAACTTAATTGTACCATTTTTATTTCCAA